GGGGGGGGGGGGGGGGTGTCAGCATCACTAAGCACTTCTCCAAAACAAGACAGGAATAGACAGACACACTTGCTTTTGAATTGTGGGCTTTTTAAAGGCTCTAGTGCACGGTTATATACAGTTAGTATCAATCAGTCTTACTGTACACCCTGTTCTCAGTGGCTCTCCTTCGCACTTGACCAACACAAAAAGGGTTCAGTGGTTAATCCCCACACCTGTTCACCATCTCCAGGTTGTGAGATCCAATGGCCCAGTCCCATCCCGTGTCCTAAGCCACAGAGGAAAGCAAAATTCCCCATGTTCCTTGCAGCCCATTTCATCTAGGGGAACATCTCTTTCCTGATCCCAAATTTGGCAACAGGTATGACCTTGAGCGAAAGACCAAGTCACTCCATCCATAAGCCTGCAATGTTTCAATGACATAGCAAAATCCATACTTTGGAAGTTCTGATTTCCAGCAGATTTTTTAGTTGTTTGTTTTATTAGTGGCAATTAAAATATGAGGATACAAGAATAAAACACTTAGTTATATGTGATTTTGTAATGTTTTTAAACAAATGTATAAATGGATTTTATAGAAATTTTACCCCACTATTATTTCAACAGAAGAGAGAGGAAGCAGTAACCTGGTAGGTTCACCCAACAGTTGATTTACTCAACAGCAATAAATTTGACTGAAGATCCTTTCAGTTCACATTGCATGGTACTTGCTCCATTCAGGCCTACAAGTTTTTAAATGCTTCCTTTGTCTAACACTTGAGGAACAGACCAAGTAAAGGTCCCATAAAAGAAAGTGGCATAAGACTAGAATAGCAAGCCAAAAAAACACTCTAGATCTTCATCGCAATTATCTTTTAAAACGTTAGTGCACTGTGTACTTTGCCTCAGCAGTAATGAAATGCAGTATCGTTATTCATAATGGTATTGGCAGAGCAGGCTTTTCCCTTGGGCAATGAAAACCAGTGAATGACTATTCCCCACCTAAAATGAGTTTGCCTATAAAAAACTATAATTATTTCAACAGAAACACTCATGAAATGCTAGCATTTTCAAACTGCCTCATGCATTACTTTTAACACAACACTGCTTAAAAATATAAGCAAGGGTACACAAAAGCTAGTGACATCCTATGTGGACCAAACTGCTCTGAACATGTCTCCTTTGGTTAGTGTTTGGTAACTTGATTTGAAGACAACTAGGTATGATGACAAATAAGATGAAAAGGAACCTAGTTTCGTGGTAAATTTACCTATTTGCAATTAAAAAATTGCAACAAGCCGCCTCTGTTCTTTCTTTTGTCCAAAAGCAGAATTGTGTCCCCACCACAAAGCTGTGATGGGACTGATTACTGGACCCTTCTCTGCTCTATCCTACAAAAATCTGCTGCTAACAATGGATGCCAGCGGTGTCTTCAAGACAGATTCAGGCCTATTTTACATGCGTAAGTTTTTGCTATAACCTAAAGCATGAATTTTAAAAATAAATGTAATTATACATTCTCCCTATTCATCCCAACTCCCTCAAAATAGATTTTTTTTTTTAAAACCTCCAATAAAAGACAACTAAAATAACAGATCTCAAAATGCGTTCCTGATAGTTGATTTTCTCTCAAGTTACACCCAATATTAGCCTTTGTATACACGTGTTTTAATTTTGCCCCCCCTTTAAAATCTTCAAAAAAGACACACGTGTTAATCATAGCATTGTGGCAAAGCTTGCCAGGCTTTGCCTGGCTCTCTGGGCTTAGGAAACTGCAAATGCAAATGGTGGGGCAAAACCCACCAACCGGAGCTAGGCAGGGGAGGAGCCAGAAGGAGAGTCCACTCCACCTCTATTGTAAAGGCGGGGGCGCCAGGACGGACCTATTTGGGAACTGCAGCTGCAGCTCCCCCAACTGGTTCATTTTCAATCTGGAGGCAGGGCCCCAGAAGGGGATATAAGCAACTGCATGCTAAGCACATGGCACAGT